CAGACGCCGCGGGACCCCGGCTGCTGCTGGGGGCGGGCTGCTCGGCTCGGAGCGGGACGGCGCCGTCACGACGGTCTCTGCGGGATGGACAGCGCGGCTCGCTGACCAAGGCCAGGCGGTGGACAGTCCCGGGGGCGACACCGTGTGGCCTGGCCCCGAGCGTCCCGGCTGGGGCTCGGGGCCGGGGGCGTCTTTTAAAAGTGGACTGTCCGGCCCTCCCTGGGGGCGCGGCGGGTTGGGGCGCAGCAGGTTGGGGCGCAGCACGGCAAGCGGCCCCGGCCGCTTCCGTGCCACCCGAAGGGGACCCCCAGGGCGCGGCCGACCCCTCCTGGCTCCCCGCTGCCCCCCTCAGCGGTGGCCTTCTTCCATCTGCCCGTGCTGCTCCCCGCTCTGTCTCTGGGGACCCTCTCACCGCCCCTGCCCCTCTGGCCTGCACCCCGGTTCTGTGTGCACCCATAAATACACCTTTAAAAAGAAGTAAGGCGCCGGGGACCTGCAGGGCCTCCTGGGGACCCAGCGGGGCCGGGGGACAGGCCCGGCTTTTCCGGGCTCCCCCCCGAACGGCCCCCTAGTCTCACCCTCACTCTGAACCCCCGGACACGTGTGGGGCTCCCCGGGGGTGCTCCCAGGGCCCCCGCATGCTCGCAGGAACCCTCCCTCTCCCGCGCACCCCGGCCACACCACTCCCGGGGCCCCCTGAGAACGGGCGAGGCTGGGCAGCGCCCCCCGGGAGGGAAAGCGGCCCCTCAGCAGATTCCTGCAGAGCACGGGTAACCCATGAGGTCACGTCTGGTAATGAGGGAATTATCTTAATTATTTAGTAGCGCAGGCGGCCTCCGCACGCTGGCATCCTCATTACGGGACAGACCTCCGAGGCCAAGCCAGCCCTCCTGGCGCCCGCCGGCCACCCAGGAGCCCGGGCGCCCGCCAGGCTGGCCCGGAGGGTCCGCGTGCGGCCGGGTCTCCCCTGCGCCCCTCCTCGGTTCTTCCGGGGCCAGGCCGGGCTCCCCGGGTGCTTCTGCAGCTCCCCGCTGGCCGGCCCAGCGCCCTGCTCGCCCCTCGCGAGCGGACGGGTCGGGCGCCAGCTGGAGAAAGCTGGTCTCGGTGGCACCGGCCACTCGTCAAAGAGCCGGACTGCGCCCGGGAGCCCCGACGCCGCCCCGAGGAGCCGCCGCGCCGCCACACGCTGGACTTGGGGTTCCCTGGGGTTCCCCCCAGCTGCCTCGCCGGCTTCCGTC